AGATTTTTTTTTGAAACCAGATTTAATTATGTAAAATAGACAGTATGATAAATTAGGTTGTTAGGCTTTTTATTCATTATCTTGAATAATGACTCTGTTGCAATGACTGCATCCAAAGAATTACCTTTCTAATAGGCTTCACAGCCTTTTTATTTTTGAGCTGGCATCGAATTGAAGTGCATTGGCAAACTTACAATTAAGCTTTCAAAAAATGATGAAGTGACGCTTACTGTGGGCGTATTATATTTGGTGCTAGGCGAAAGATTTTTTACAATGCATGTGCATCATTTTGACTTGTCATTTGAGCTTCGAGAGATCTATATAGAATATCTTCCCACTTCTTCGTCGTTTTGTTACTTTGTAGCCCAAATCTTATATTCTATATTCATATTAAGTTGTTTTCGAGGATATCAGTAATTCTTTAATAAGAGCTGTCACAGGCTCACATAAGGTGATGATTCGGTTGAATTTTTTGCATAATGCTATCAACAGTCCTCACTTTTCCTCTGTTATTTGACTCTTTTTTGCAAGCTGATTGGACAGTAGTATCAGGAAGCTGGTTAAAGTGTGTTCAAATTCCCTTATGATCTAAACTGAATTAATTTTTTTAATTGCGTTGATGTCTTCTAGGTGAAAATTCTTACTATCATTGATTTCATACTCCTTACTTTTTCCCTCTGAAAACGATTATATAGGACATGCTCAATAAAATATTTGTGGGGTTGCCTTGCCTATACATATAACATACCCATTTTTATCTTCTTCATTAGCCAGAACATGTATAATATGTGGCTTTCAATCTTTTCTTAGCTTCATTGTGAATTGACTTAGAGAATTGCCATAAACCTTGCCGTGTTGCCAAAATATCTTATCTATTGCTTATAGACTTGGACCGTCTCTTGAATTAGCTAAACCTCTAAGTTATCCATTTAGTTATTCGTCAAACTTGGAGACAATCGCTTTTCCATGGATAGAATTTTCGATGTATGATGAAGTATGTGTACTTAATTGACTTTTCGTCTTCTTTTCGTCATATTTTCTGGCTTATGATCTGTTGTTAATTCTGGAGCCTGTACTGCCCCACTTACCAGAATTTTGTCACAATTAATTCCCTTTATTCGCCCACAAATAATTTATCATTTTCTGCGTCTTCTATACATTTATACATAGATATATCTCCTCATTTTTATTCATTATCTTCCCAAAGCTCCAGCAATCACAGCACCAACAGCTACAGCATCAGCAGCAATCACAGCAGCTTCAGCAGCAGCCACAACGGCAGCATGTGCAAGTGCACCAACACCAAACCTACTTAAAAGCTGCTGAGGAAATGGCGCGCCAGACTGCTGCTGCGGCATACTTGAATTTTGGTCATGCAGCAGCCGCTGTCCAACATACGTCTCATCAACAACAGGCACAGCAAACACAGCCGCATCAACAACCAACTCAACAGCATCAGCAGCAACAACAGCAGCAGCTTGCGCATCAACATCAGCATCACATCCAGCAAACAGCGCATCATCAACAACAACAACATCATCAATTGGTGGCCCATCAGCAAGCACAACAACAGCATCAACAGTTGCAGCAGACGCAACACTCGCAGCAGCAGCCACAACAGCAGCCTCAAGCTCAAACTCAGCAAACAGAGCATGCCCAGGCGCAGACACATTTTCAGCAAGGTTTTCATCAGACTTATTACACGGCAGGCGCAGCTGTGCACGACTATTTTGCTCAACTTGCTGGACAGCAACAACAACAACAACAACAGCAGCATCAGGCACAACAACAAGTGCAACAACAACAACAACAAACCCAACAACAAGTGACCCAGCAACAGCAGCAACAACACCCTCAACAACATCAGCAGGTGGAGTATTTCGTTCGTTAATTTTCGTACATTTCCACATAACTAAAACAGAATTTTTAATAGAATATATGAAGACCAAGATGTGGCCTCTGTTATGGTTGCAGTCTCCTTTCGATTTATAGAAGTTGGTTGGCCTCGTTGTCGCAACTTGGTCTTGTTGTCAGGGTGACTGTAGAACGCATCTAGTCCGAAGTCGTCTGCCATTGTTGTTGTCATGATTCCTAGCATCTGACAGTGGACTTGATACATTCTCAAAAGTTTCGCCGGCATCGTTGTCGGCATCATCAGTGAGCTTTGCCATTCTCCGCACCAAGCTACTAACTCGTCAAAGAGAATCCCTTGACAACCTTTCTGCCGAAATCGGTTACACTATCACTCATCTTCTGTCATTGTATATCTATCTACTCTTTACACTTATCCCACTGCCGCCCTATAACTTGCTTACATTCATAAGATGTATTCACCCAATTTTGTTTAAGGTTATGAAGGACTGGTAGAACTAGAATTTTCCCACAAGTGATATGAGTTGGGCTGGCATTTCAATTCCAATCGTCAAAATGTGTGCCCTTTTGTGGCAAACTGAGTGTGGCCTCATCACACTTGCTATTTACCCCGACCCCTCGCTTTCGATGGGCTTATCCGACTCGGGCCTCCAATCCGTATCCTTTCATTTTCTCGTAGATCTGTTCCTTGTCATTCTGATTTCACTCGGGTCTAGTTCCTTTGTGCATTTTATTCCAGGCGCTATTTCTCAAGGCCCTAGAAGCACATACACTGCCGCTTTACTGAGCGGGGCGCTTAAACTCTGATTCCCATGCTTGCAGATATCAGGCCTTCCCTACATTGGTCGTCTCCTTGATTAAACCTATGTTATCTGAGCAAACTGCCTATCTGGTCGCATGCGGCATCTCAATAGGATTTCTAGTGCATTTTAGCCAAAACCCCTAATTTCTAAGACGGTGTGCTTATCTGTCTGCCAAGCTCCCTGACTGCAAGGCCTTCAAAGTTGTAATGGTTTAAAATGGCCAGTACCCACTGACAACGTCTTCGCTTAATTGCTGAATACTCCTGCCGCCCACTTTCGTCATCACAATCCCTTTTCCTCTGGTTAGCGGCAGATACTTGGTCCAGGCGACTCCATTTTGCTGGTCTTGCTCTATTGTTTTCCCCGATTTTGCTTATGCAATAGGCAAATTTATCGCTAACTCTACCTCCCTCCAATCTCCTGTTCATTAGATTTGTCTCCTTAAGGATGTCAATGGC